CCACAGCAGTGAGGATATCAGTGTAGTTTGGAGCATGTACCTCCCATGCCGCTGCACGAGAGACGAGATCCGAAAAATTAGAGCTGGCCATGGTGAGGGTCGAAAAGATACGAAACCTGATGCCGGCGCAAGAGATTAATCTAATCTAGGTTCTTGCCTTCATCATCGGCTGAATGAAGAATTGTGAGCTGAGAGATAGACAACCTTCTTGCGATCGGCAGTTCAATGGCTGGTCTTGGCTAGGTCGCTGGCTTTAGTGATTCATGGTTGCCGCTGTCGATCTTGCCAAATGTGGTCTTGGACGGGCGTCGTTGCCTTAAGGGTAATCTTGTTCGAGAGGCATTGAGGAGCTGATGCGGTGCATCATCATGTGGGGTATCCATTTCCGGAACGCAGGTGATGACCTGCGAGATGTAGAGATGTACTTGAGTTGTAGGTGAAGAGGGGGGGAATTAATTTTGCAAATTGTGAGATGGTCCTCTCGGCAACCATGATTAGGGTCATAGTTGCAAGAACCCATCAGGGTTCAAGCTTCCATGCTGCGGGGCGTGGAAACTTGGACGGGGGGGTTCCCCAGGCGTGCCGCTGCTCGACACGTTTTCATAGCTTTCTAATCTCTCTCATAATCTACATTCTCTCAACAACAAACTCGAAAGATCTTAACACTAGCTTTTAGCGTAGTGCACTAGCGAGAAGACTGCCATCAAAGGTCAGTACCGGACCCTGAAGAAGACCATCAAAGCCATGCTGTATTTCTGTGACAACTACCCAAGTCCTCCTCCAGTAGACCCAAGTGATCTGGCTGGATGGCAACGCCAACTCATGTTACAGGCAGAAACGGCAATGAACAACCTGGTAGAGGAGATTCCAAACCCACCCCTCACGCGCATCACCCAGGCCTACATCATGAAAGCGGAGATTGTAAAGGAATGGGAGAACCCCAACAGCATGCTACTAGCCAGAAAACCACCGAAAGACACTCCTAATGCTGCTGTAGCTCACTTCAGATTTAACTATAGGATCTACTTTATATATCCTCCGCCTCATCTTTGCCCGTCTCATCTTCACCCGTCTCATGGTCTCCGTGTTGCCTCACATCGGGTCACGCCCGGATCATTGCGAGTGCCAAAGGTGTGGCAAGTCGGCATCTGCTACCAAGGGACCTACTTCATCCCCAATCTATCCTCTTAAGGCAGCACACACGATGATGCCAGCTAGTGTACCCCTGCGACCATAGTATGAGCCTCAAGATCAATCGCAACAAGTTTCTCCCGTCCAGTTACCTCGTCCACCACAAAAACCATGTTGCCATCATCTGCATCCTCATGACGAAAGCCAAACTGTCCTTCCAAAGAAGTCAAAACGCTGCTCCAACCCGAATTGTCATCTCCTGGAGCAGGATTTCGTCCCAAGTGTAAGCCAATAAACTTGACTGAACCGGACCACGAATCTGACACAAACAGAGGCCTTGTCACTAGCTCACCCCAGGCACCCTCCACTGCCATGTATCCCTTGATTTCGTTGTTGTAGTAACCATACCCATCTTTTCCGATATCAAACTGCTTGAGGGCAACCTCCTTTCCATGCCACTTTGCCACACGCACAACTCCATTGTGTCCATACCCAAGAACACCAAGGATTTCAATGTCTTCAAACGGCACCTCCTGCAATCCATTAGAGGCAGTATTTGCAGAAGGCTTGTCTGTAGGTTCCATACCCACGTCATCCTCATCACCTTCCTCGATTGTTTTATTTGGTAGGTCTCCCTCATAGGTTCTCTTAGCTGGAGGTGTTGGATGTTCACCGTTGGATGATTTCCATCCAAGGGATTTGGAAGCAAGTTTGTCTGCCTGAGCACAACACAACGAGTGAGCAAAAGCCCAAGCCCGCAGAAAGTTTCGTTGGCCAACCAAGAAAGCATCGCTGATCGAGATCACAGCATCACCACCATGTCCTTGAATTTGGAGGAAATTGGCCCTAGTGCCCGATGACAAAACCCCAAAGTGTCGTCCAGTTTCGACCATGTAATTAAGAAGCTGCCCAATTGGATGGCAAACACGAGACCAAGCAGTGGTTCGGCCCCGTTTCTCCTGAATCACCAAACGATAGGCTTCATTGTATGCATTCACTATAGCAACAGCAGGACGATCCGGCAATTAGGGCCTAAGCTAATTAAGAATCACGACTGAATGGTTGCAAGTGAGATTTATGCGAGACGGTCTCCTAAATAGTCTCCTAAAACCGGTGCGAGTATCCAAAACGGTCGCCTATTTTTAGGCGATCACCTAAACGATTGCCTAATTCTTCGAGAAACAACCCGTTAAATCCTAGAAACAGTATCTTAAATCCAAGCAGTAGCCTAAATAGTCTCCTAATACCGGCAACCGTCGCCTAAACGATCGCCTATTTGTAATGGTCGCCTAAACGGTCACCTAAACGATCGCCTAAATGTGAACTGTTCAATCGTGAAACCAACGTCACAACTTACCATTGCCGGGTCGTCCAGACATGGGCAAGGGGAGATTGTGGGTCGACTTGAACTCCACCACAAGTCCCATGTTCTCCTCAGTAGCAAGTCCACTGTTGGCTTCGGTCTTCAACGTGAGCGAATCGGGTTTTTCTATTCCTCCACGCTCGGTAAAGCCACCCACAAGACCGGATAGCACCAACGACTTGTGCAACACATCAGTCAAGGAATTCTGCTCGGATTTTTCGTCTCCAAAAGCCTGACGTCTATCGACGCGGGAGCTTGAGTAAGCAAAAATGTTAAACATTGTTTCCTTATTCAGGGGCTCGTCAGAAGGCTTGTAATTCACTGCAAGCGCGTTGAAGCCATTCCAGACATTTAAACTTGCTGGGTACCTCCGACATTTTCGGGCCTCCGTTGCCTTGGACCGCGTGCTGACACCATACGATCCTAAATTTGGGATCATGAGGCGCTGCTGCAAAAGCTCTTTGACTATGTTGACCTTCGGAGTTTTGGTTCGGTAATGAGCTTGGATACCTGTGATTTTTTTTCGCCAGGCATCACACTCCTCAACCTCGGCACCCGTCAAGTGGGAATAAGGAAGATTCCCCACCGCGTTAAAATCAGAGGCAAAGACTAGTCCATTGTTCGACTCGTCGTCGAAGTGCCTGTAGATGAGTCGTAGCTCATGGCTGCTGATTAGCGGTTCCACTCAGCCCAGTGGCAATTGAGTGCTCTCTCATCTCCTTTTGTACCGGGCAGACCCTGGTGATCTCTGACCCTGTTTAATATACCGGGCAGACCCGGTGATCTCTGAACACGTTTATTGTGGTGGTGGTTGGTTGGTTTTGGTTGGTTGGTTATCCTTAGGGTTAGAGTTTATCTAAAAACGAATGGGCCCCCACATTTCTTACACATTCTCTTTTATAGCAACGGATCCTGAATATTTTCCTCACATTTGCACACCTCTAAACTCCCGTAAGCTACCACGCCACTTTCTCAGAAGGAAAAATCTAACGTCTCAGGTTGCACACCTCTAAACTCCTGTAAGCTACCACGCCTCTTTCTCAGACGGAAAAATCTAACGTCTCACGTTGCACACCTCTAAACTCCCGTAAGCTACCACGCCTCTTTCTCAGACGGAAAAATCTAACGTCTCAGGTTGCACACCTCTAAACTCCCGTAAGCTACCACAGGGGGTTAAATTACTCATTTAGCTTAACAAGCTATTGGCCACGGAGTGACTTTATTGACGCGGGCAAGTGGTGGGGGAGATCCCCACCTAGCTGAGTCGTCATCTACTTTGTTTTCCCAATCAACGTGACCTCATCCACTGGCCCAACGTGGAGCCAACACCAAGTAGACAGATGCCCTGGGTAGGGGGGTGAGCACATTGATAGGGAACCTGCAGCGCAAAACCTGCGTTACAGGGGCTTACACAGGATTTTGTCGGTATTGAAACCATTATCACCAAAAGGGCCGTGAGGACCAGATAGATTGCCAGACCAAAGAGTGCTCGCAAGTAAGTGTGTCTGGGTGATCAGGTCCCAAGCTGTGGCAAGTGCCTTGGCATGCAAGGCAAGATGCCAGCAGAGCCCGTAGGAGGTGGTACTCCTCAGGCTGGACCAGAGCAGGGTGTAACCCATCCAATGCACAAAAATTGTTAGATAGAGGCCAACAAGCAGGCAAAAGATGGGGTCAAATGACACACTGGCAGTCTGTGGTTCCCAGGAGGGAGGCACAGTGGCTGCTGGAGTGTTGTGGGCTGTTCGAGGGGTTGTTGAGTCAATAGAAGGAGGATAAGGGGGCACTGGGAGTGGGCTGGTGCCAGGGGCAGGAGGGGAGATCCTGTTGGTGTTGGAGTGTTGTTGTAGGAGTTGGGATGTAGCATGATTGATGGTGTGTTGTAGGATAGAGGCGTGCCTCTGTTCAAGGGTGAGGACAAAGGCATCCTCCCTGATAGGGTAGGGTGTGATTCGGAAGGGTGTGATCCGCAAGATGGCTGCATGCTCTAGGAGCTGTTGGCTGATCATCTGGGAAGTGGTGTTGTGTAGTCTGCGGAGGATGGTGGATGTTGTTGGTTGGGTGAAGTGTGGGAGTGGGGGGATGTCTGGTGGGTCCTTGGGTTTGAGTGAAGTTGTGGGTAGACATGGGGAAGTCATGGTGGGTGGTAGTTGGATTGGTGGGAGAGTTGTGTATCCTGGAGTGTTGACTGTAGTGTCGTTGCTTCAACTCAAGCAATGGAGGTTGCTTGTGAGGTGACGAGAGGATTGATGTAGAGGGGTTTATTCAAGGGCCAATGCACTGAGGCACTGGTAATCAAGGTTTATATCAAGTTGTTGGGTTGTTGTTGCCACTGGATCAAAGGCTGTGGCCAAGTCTGGTGCAGGTATACCACTACCTGCAGGAGAAGGTGGGATCAGAGCCAAAGGCTGTTAGGGATTCTTTCAGGGAAAACTGGAGAAGTCACGCTATAGCCAGTAGAGGCAGTGGTGGGGGGATCAAGGGGTGTTGTTGGTTGATGGGGCTGTGTTACTGGATGACACTGTGTTGTCTCAAAGGCTGGTACTCAATCTGTTGTAGGGTCTGACATGCAACAGAGAGTCAAGCCAAGATGTGGAGGGTACTCGATTCAGGTGGAACTGTGGAAAGTCACTGGAGAGTCACTCAACAATCAATGAGAGAGAGAAAGAGTCAGTTATGTATTAATATCTATGCCACACCACGCTGCAGTTCTGTCTGGGGCTCAATCCTTTGGAGCACCACACTCAGTAGGAGAGTCAGGTGCAGTAGCAGAGAGGTGGCTGTGTCAATGAAGTGTTGCACAATCTAACACACTAGAGGGGCAGCTTTTGTAGTTTGTTCTTGTGGGGGTGAGATCCTTTGGAGGGGAGCTGGGTATCTCAGGGAGGGGCTGTGAAAACTCTAAAAAATGCAGCCAAGCCTGGAGATACAAGAACTCAAGTCCTTACAGGAACTCTGTTGTTGTTTGTTGTTCCTCTTGGAGAGGAGTTAGATATCAATGGAGGGGTGTAACAGTAGCAGGTGTTGATCAGTCAATCAGTCTGTATAGGAATAGGGCTGGTTGGATCAGTAGGATCAGTTCCAACAAGGACGTCGGGAGAAACCCAGAGTGGCCGGTGAGAAAGTAAGAAATACAGCTGTGTTTCTGTTCTCGACGGTCACTGCAGGTATCTCGTGGAGTCCTTCTTGATAGTAGTAGGCTGTCGTTCGATCCGTACGGAGGAAGAGGTACGGTCGCGGGAGGTACGAAGAAGAGGTACGTTCGCGGGAAGATCGATCGATTCACGGAGGAGCGAGTCGTGGATTCGAATCGATTACCAGGTCTAATCGATTCGATTCGGAGGATTTCGCATTTCGGATGAGTCAGTTGCCTTAGGGATAAGGGTAACCGAGCCTGTTGTTGTTGAGGAAGAAGATCGATCGTTCGATCGCGAAAAAGAGGATCGACAATGGGATTTCGTCGGCCGTCAGGAGCGGAGTGCAGAAAACAACAAATACGTATGGGAATTGTTTTCTGTACTGTGCCGGGGAAGACCGGAGACTTCTTCTTGTGTTCAATTTCTTCCAACTTGGCCGTCAGCGGTCGAGAATAGAAAACCCGGCCGATCATGTAGGA